TATTTACTATTTACTATTTACTATTTACTATTTACTATTTACCCCCCGCTCAGCTGGAGGTTGGCTGCACAGCTAAAAGCTTCAGTCACACCATGGGAATTTCTTTTGCCGGAAATCGCCTCTCAAGCCAAAGCGTAACTGGACTGTTGAAAAGTTTACCTGGATCAAAAAAAAAAAAAAAAAAAAAAAAAATCTGGAACGACGACCCGATATCGTGGGATCAAAATTCAAATCCTTTTTTATTTTTTACTTTTTTCAAAAAATTCAAATCCTGCTCATCTGGAGGTTGAGTGTACAGAATCACGGTGAATATGTGATCAGGCCTTGTACACCCCACCCATCACACCATGGGAATTTACTATTTACTATTTACTATTTAATACAATACTATTTACTATTTAATACTATTTACTATTTACTATTTAATACTGTTTACTATTTAATACTATTTACTATTTACTACTTAGTATTTACCCCCCCGCTCAGCTGGAGGTTGGCTGCACAGCTAAAAGCTTCAGTCACACCATGGGAATTTCTTATGCTGGAAATCGCCTCTCTAGCCAAAGAGTAACTGGACTGTTGAAAAAGCTTAGCTTACCTGGGTTATCAGAAAAATCTGGAACGACGATGACCCGATATCGTTGGATCAAAAATTTCAAATCCTGGTCATTATGAGAAGGAGCGAGAAGAAGAAGAAAAGGGAAAGAAGGGGGCCGGGCGTCATCGGCATCAACACGTGTAAGAAGAATAAAGCGGTAAACTTTGCGGGGGTGATAACGTGTGTTGATCAATGAGCGAGGAATATCGACTGATTGATCAATCAATCAATCGAGAAACGAGAGGAGAGAGCACCTCCTCAAAGGAATCTCCCTCTGACGAAGAACCGAGACCATTATAAGCATCATCTATCACTGAGCCAATCGATTTACTAATCAATCAATCAAAGCAATGACTTGATTAATCAGCTATCGAATCAACCAACGTAGTAATAAACTCAATCAACGACTCAATGATTCGTTGACATCAAACATTCAGTTAAACAATCAATCAATCAATTAACAGCATCCATCCATGCATCCATCCATTCACTATATAATGAATCCGTACCAATCAGCAATCAAAGAATCGTTTCGATTCCAATCGACTTTTTTCTCCTTGGGAAGAAACGGTGGGAAGGGGGGCGAAAAAGGGGGGAGGGGGGCGAAAGGGAGGGGCAAGGGGGGCGAAAGGTGGGGAGGGAAGACGATGGGGGGGAGCGGATTGTTCCAGTGTTCCAGTCGACCTCCCTATTGTTCCTGTATACATCTCCCCCTCTCTGTGTAGGGCCTGGGACTCATCACAATCCCGCAAGGGAAGAGAAAACATAGCATGTCCCAAAAGCCCTGTTGAGGTTTTTGCGTCGCCATCTTGATACATAAAATAAGATTGCCCAAGAATACAGTGCGAGCCCGCTGACGTTTACAGAGTTGAGCCTGTTCTGACGAATTGGAGTCACTTTTTTTTTTTTTTTGAATTGGAGTCACTTTCGGATCAAAGCGTCCTACAGTTAACCCGTTATATTATATTATACTATACGTGGGGAAGCGCGCGAACGTACGCTGTTTGTTATACTTCCCTGGGAGGCCTCTCCCCCCACACAACAAGAACACAAAAAAAACGGATTGAAACCAGATATGATCAAAGTCATATGCATAAGCTGCGACTGATAGATGCACCCTGGATGAAGAAAAAGCATTATTTGAGTTCGTAAATAAGCTAAAAACAGTTCTCAAAAAAAAAAAGAAAAAAAAAAAAGGCTATAAATAGAGTGACGTGTGAGCATCTGCCACTTGTCCTACCTGTAGATATCCCAGTTCATCTCCTTGTAGAAGAGACAGGGAAGCTCCTCCCGCAATGTTCTGATGGCGTATCCAACATTGACGTAGTAGTCGTCTTTGAGCGCGCTCTCCTGCTTCTGTCTAGGCGGGGGTGAAGACTGCACGGCGCTGCTGAACTCCGAGTAAATGTATGAGCGCCACAACTTCTCTGCAACGTACGGCATGGACCTGGCTGACCGTACCAGCAACGACTCCAGCAGCTTCTCTCGCTCCTCCTCCTCCTCCTCCTCCTCCTCCTCCTCCTCCTCCTCCTCCTCCTGTCTCTCCTCCTCTTTCTGCTCCTCCCCCTCTGCCTTGCTAAGCTTAGTCTGAGAATACTTCGTCAGCTCCCTCCCCAGGCCAAGAGCTGAAGTACCACCTTCCCATCCTTCTTCTCCTACCCCTTCTCCACCTCCTCTTTCTCCTCCTCTTTTTCCTCCCTCTTCTCCTCTTTTTCCTCCCTCTTCTCCTCGGAGGACTCCTCCGCTTGCCACTCCGTCTGCCTGCACCAAGTCACCCGATGACGTCGGCCTGAGTGGGAGATGACTTACTTGAGACGCGTACCGAGTGGTGTGGGAAGGGAAGTAAGGGGAGGAGGAGGAGGAGGAGGAGGACACCTCCTCCGTCGTCTTCGCATACCCAGTCCACTCTTCTTCTTCTTCTTCTTTTTCTTCTTCTTCTTCTTCTTCTTCTTCTTCTTCTTCTACTACTACTCTAGCTATGGCCGCCGATCCCTCAGATGAACTGCTGGTGCTGGATACTATCGACAGCCATCTTAGCGGAAACACTGACACGTGGGCTCCCATTATGGACTCTTTCCCGCCATTTTCCTCCGAATAAACCCATCCTCCTACGTTGTTCAATCGCCCTGGTGCCACGTGGCTTATCCAATTATGTCCTGGTGGTTTATTAGTCACAACCCGTTCTTGCCTTACCCATCCACGTGCCTCGTCGATCCAGTCGTCCTCCTGGTGCCACGTGGCGGGCATACCGCTCCTCGCCTGCTGCGGAATCTCCGCCGCCGCGCAGAGCGATGACACCAGCGCGCCCTTCTTCGCTATCGCCTTTTGATCGCGCCCTTTCTCACCGCTCCCGCCCGATCGGAAATCTTTTGTCGCTTCTTTCCCGCCGGCTGCCGCTCGCCATCGGGCGCCACGTGCCTTCTTTCCCGCCGACCATTCCGCGGCCACGTCGAACCCAGATTGAGTGGAGTCCTTCCAATGTTCAGAGGAGGAGGAGGAGGAGAGAGTGCGGGAAAGCTGCAGCCGCCGCGCGGCAGTCGAAGAGATGATTGGCATGCTGTTGTCCACCAGCGCACGCCCGCTCATGGCGGGAACGAAAAACGGATAAGAATTCTTCTCGATTACATCGAAAGAGGAGGGGGTGAAGACACGTGGGCAGGAGATTTTTGTCGTTTGCACAGCGTGGCGACCAGGCCTCTTCTTCTTATTCTGCCGACTTCCATCGCTCGACGACGAAGACGGCCATCGCACCGCGCCTCCTCCTCCTCGGGCTGCCACGTGGCATGGCGGCAGACCGATCGAGTGTTGCCGCCGGGGGATCGTCCCGCGTCTGCTTCCGCGAATCAATCGCTTCGAGACAGAGCCAGAAATGGACATTTCCATTTTCGGTAATGACCCGCACGATGCCATTTCAGCCAAAGGCGACTTCTCGAACCCGACCCCGACCCCGACCCCGACCCCAGGGTGATCGTTGGTGGACCCCAGGCTAGCCGGAGGAGACCACCCCACTCCGTCAAATCCCATAACCAACGTCCCCGATGGAACGCATGGAAGCGCCATAGACGCCACCATTCCTACCATGGCACCACCGCCTCTCTCTCTCTCTCTCTCTCTCTCTCTCTCTCTCTCTCTCAAAACACCGGGAGTGCCCTGTACAACCGCCTTTCTTCCTTGTTTTCTGCCGGCGACAGCGAGAAGCTTTGCTCTTGATGACTATCTTCTCCTTTGAACGGCCACGTCATATGGGGCCTCTTATGCCCCAAAAAATGGGGCCTCTTATGAGGGCATCAATCGACTCAATTTCTCAGTCCACGATGAAAGTAACGACCCCATTTTCCCGCTCCGTCGCTGCTTCCCGTCTACTTCGGTGCACAGCTTGCCCTCTCAGCGGAAACAGGTAAGGGCCAGATCCCACCAGCCCCTATTGTTCATTTCTGACCGTTGATCTTCGTAATCGAGGGTCAAAAATGCATAATCCAGGGTAGTGGGATCTGACCCTAAGTCCCTGACGGAACTGACGATAGCGTCCATAGGAGAGCCCCGCTCACACGCTTGCAGGCCGGGGTCTGTCTCACTCCCCGCGCGCGTGCGCGCGCTCGCGCTGGCGGATGTTGGGTTCCCACTAGCGCGCGCTCTTCTTTTCCGCCCATGGATCTGCGTAATCTGGGGTTAACAACGAAAAACAGTGAAGAACAGTGAAGAACAGTGAAGAACACGGACAAGCGGAGCCTGCGGTAGCCCCATATCTTTGTGTGGGTGGGTTGGAGGGTGTGTGTGTCCCCGGCGAAAGCACACATGTGCTCGACGTTCGCGAACAGGAAGGTAAGGTTCTTTTTTTTCTTTTTTTTCTTTTTTAATATTATAAGGTAAGGTTCTACGCCAAGTAGTGAGTAGACAGGAGGGAGGATAAAAAATCGTTTCCCCCGAGTATCTGGACATAATACCGTACGTCAGTATTTGTTTGTCATAGGGCCTCGCTCCACTACACACCACTCTACATTATCAAATGGGAAAATTGTTGAAATGCCCCTCCTCTATGGGGTGTGGGGGAAGTAGATGAGAGGCGCAGCAACTGGCAAAATGCTCGGTCTTTGCATTAGCTGGCCCCCTGTAGAGGGGGGCCCACCCTACTCCCTAACCACTGCCCATAGGGCGGGGGACAACAGGCATCCCTTTTTTTTGTGAGAGGTAGCTGTGCTAACAGGGGTCCCCTGTATAAGCTTAGGCATCGTGGTAGGTAGATAGTGACATGTGAGATTGCTAGAAGAAAGGAAAGAAAGAAAGAAAGAAAGAAAGAAAAAGTTTGGGTATTTCGTCAGATGCCATGGGTATGGCGCAAGGCCCCTATGACAGTAGAGTAAGTTTGTGAAATACCCCACTCGCCAATTGGGCCTGTCATAGTTTGCATATACCCCTACCGGCTCCGGGGCAACTTGTCTATATGCCCCGGCATTTTAGGCCGTTGGACCTTGCAGATTGCAAAAGAAATGCATGGGCCCCTGGAGCCGAGGGCCAAGGCATATGGCGAAGTTGCCAATGAGCTGGACAGGGGCAGATGCAAAAGTTTGGAGCATTTCAGCATACCCCTGTGTTTGGGGGGTATCTAACAAAATACCCAAACTTTTAGGGGTATTTCAACAAGTTTCCCGAGAAAAAAGACACACTATACATGTAACGGGACCTAATGATAATCCGGAGACATTCAAAATGCTGGGGTCCTCCGAATGCACCGGGTCCAAAGTTTGGAGCATTTTCGCATACCCCTGTGTTTTGGAGGTATCGAACAAAATACCCAAACTTTTAGGGGTATTTCAACAATTTTCCCAAGAAAAAAGAAACACTATACATGTAACGGGACCTAATGATAATCCACATACAGTCAAATTATGTAGAGTGTTTGAGTAGTGGAGCATGTTGCCTTCCCTGTTTCTTTCATCTCCCATACAAAAAGACCTTCCCCACTTCTCGTCCCACTACAGTCTTCCCCCGAATACAACGTATGGTCATTATAGCTGAATTTGGGGCATCTTTCAGTCTAAATTCAGCTATAATGACCGTACCTTGTATTCGGGGGAAGACTGTAGCAGCATTGAGTTTCCTCAACTTCCGAATTCGGATGTCTTTGTGGGAATATGGGGTTGAAGAAACTCAATGCAGTTTTCTGCACAACTCCATAAACACGTCCAGATCCGTGCATCGAGGAAAGTCAATGTTGCCGGAGAAGGAATGTTCTTAAATCAGGCAACAGATCGGCTGTCTTGAGATGGTTTTCAAGGACTTGGTGCCTGCATAGTACACTGGCCTCGATCGATGAGCATGACAAGCTTGTACTTGGAAAGTGGTTGTTCAGTTCGTAGCTTTGTAAGTAGTCTGTAGCAATTTGTTCTGCTGCAATCAATTAATGTTTGTTGTTGCATTTCGCAATTGTTGTGTTTCTGTTTATTCTAATTTATCCCCCTTTCGTTGATTTTCACTGTTGTTGTTTGTTTTCTTATTATTATTTTAAAACCGTAGTACTAACCTGCACACTACGTTATGGTTTGGCCACAGAAGACAGGCAGAAGGTGTAGATGGTGAAGGGAGTGTGAACTTCGCACAAAGGCTACTTTTGGACCCTGCCCCCATTATTAGGGGTTCAACGAGTAGTCTACACTCTCGGATAGTTAGGAGTTCTCTGTGAGATAGTTTGAATGTTTTGTGCAGAGTAGCGAAGTTACTTGGTTTGCAGTACAATTCTTGGGTTTGTGAGGCCTTTTCTACCAGTGCGGGACTTTTTTCAATAGAGAAAGGGCTCAAAATAGTTGCGCAGGGGTGGTCCCTGCTTTCGAGTTTGTTTGGTATTTCCAGGCCGTGAGGTGGTTTGTCTTTTAGGTGGTTCTGGTTGTGAAGTGTTTTCAGGCCTGAGGCACTTTATATATTCAAGGCCGATGGATATCAGGACAGCACTCTGGTTTTGGCCATTTCTATCCCTGGATTTTACCCCGACACCTACACTAAGCAGTCTGGTTTTGGCCATTTCTGTCCCTGGATTTCACCCCGACACCTACACCTAAGTTGGGTAAGCTCGCTCTTCTTCATTTTCTCTAGGTTGTGTTGTTGAGGATTGGCGGCCTCTCTTCTGGTGTGTGTAATCAAATGAGCTGAGTTTTCTTGTAAAAAAAAAAAAAAAAACCCCTCTACTATCGCTACATATGCAAGGGATTCCTTTTTCCTGCCCATGGCCGCTTCGCCATCCATCGAATGGCAAAACTAAAAGAGAAAAAGAAAGGGAATGAAGGTAATCAGTCGTCACATATAGAGAATGTGTCGGAGCAAGAAGAGTGAGCAAAAGTAAACGAAAAGAGCATAATTTTAGAAAAGCAAGGCAAAGTAGACAATTAGGAAGACACCCCGTTGTTCGCGGTGTTGCTATGAATCCTCGTAAACGAGTTTTGGCTGGTACAACCACTCAATTATCTGCGTTCCTGATGTGGGTCATGACCGATTACTATCACGGTCCACCCAATCAGCACTAATTTGGGGGTGCCTAGGACGATGAAGAATTTCGGGCCAGTGGCCTATTCAACAGTCTCATGAAAGACATAAGTCTATGGATTGCTGCCTAGGTGTATTCCGACAAAATCAGACCCCGATCGAAGGCAGGCACGAAGTGCGGCAAAACATGTTGGACACGAAAGCAAGACACAAAAAAGTGATTGAACTAGCGCTGCTACCACTTCGTGACCTGGTCGTTGCGTTGACTCTTTTGGGTGAGTTGCATTATAATGACACTCTCATAAAAATAAAACTAATTTTTTGAGTGGGTCTGTTGCCTCTTAGTCTTTGAGTGAAGATACGGAGACTTCGATTGACCAATTGACCAAACTAACGAGTTCGAACGCACCAAAAGTGGAACTGGACTAAAGAGTTTGAACACCCCAAAAGTCGAATTCAAGGTTTGGCTCCACAAGACTACTTTGGAGAATTTCCCCGGGGTAATCGAGGCTCTACTTCGCAGCTCCTACGGGCTGCAAATTGCAGTTGCGTCAATTTTTTTTCTATTTTTATTTTTGGATGCTTAGTCACATTTACTACCACTGGATTTTCAAAGGGACCGAGGACCTCACAATTCAACCCGAGTGAAGAGTACTAAGGCCATTACCCAATCTCGACTGTACCATGTCGAGCATCTCCTTTCCCAATAGGAAATCCAACTTGGTACCTCAAAAAAAAAAAGCTTTGAAGCCCATTAAAGGTTTATAGGAAATCTTCGTCCTGCCAAAAAGTATTACAATACTTTATGCAAGAAAACATGTTTTGGACCTATTTCGGTGACTCCGAGGAACCATAGCAAATTCCACCCTGTCCCCCTGACCCAACTCAAGTACCCACCTTCGGCTAGCTAGCAACAAGAAGTTTGCCATCTGGGTCCATTGACATTAAGCCACTGGTACCTTTCCCCACTCGAGAATCAAACACGTGCCAATATGTTCAGAAGCCAACCAGGATCAGGCCGCCGTTGATAAATTTCATCGGCAACCCATTTTCCGTTTCGGGTCTTTTTTTTTGCTCGTGACTGATATATGGGAAAAGTATTGGAGGTTTAAGACATTACCGATTGACCAACTCTTTTCGAACTAGTAGAACCCTCACACTCCTCTCTCTTTGATTTCCTGCACTATGTGAGGATAATTCGATGAAGGTTGGTTCTAACCAAGTCCATTGTTCTTTCCTGAAAACTATGGCATTTCTTGCTTTCCACAGAGTCTCCATCACAATGCCCCTGCACACCATTGCAACATATCCCCATTCCTCCTTCAAGGAGGCTCCAAGCGTTGGTTTTCCAAACAATATCCAATCATCAGTCCATTCCCACACCTGACCTGTCCAATTCGTCCAATGTTGCTTCCACGACTCATCAACTAAATGGACAAAACAACCAATGGTGGGTGGTGGATTCCCAGCCCCAATTATAGTGGGTACATGTCAGGTCCAAATCCATGCCCCTCGAGTGTAGCCATTGCATAGAGGGGATCACCCCCAAAGACTGTGCCCAAAGCAAGTTGGCCCGTCTCTGACATGGAATATTTTCCAACAATTTCCACTGCTACATGAAGTCCGATGCACCGATCGAAAACCCCTGTTGCTTGTGAAACCTATGTTTTGCAACAACCTTCGGGGTCTTCTCACAACACGCCTTAAAAGCCAAACTCCCACCTTGGTGTTGTACTCCATCAACGACATAGGGGTCCCATCCCTTCTATCAGAAGACCACCCATATAAAACGGGGTTG